GTGTGAGGGGGCTGAGCTCCCCTGGCCCCCCTCCGCTATCCCCCAAAAGAGGGGGGGTCCAGCAGAGGAGGGTTTGGTTATCAGCAAGCAGATATATTCACCCCTCCCACACCAAATCCAGCAGCAGAACTGGTCCAGAACCACCCCCCAAGCCCATTTGAGCAGCTGGTGCTTCCTAACGTAGTGCACGCCGTGGAAAAATAAGGTGGGAGCACTCAGGTGAGGGGGTCTGGGGGGGGGGGAAGCAGGGGCAGCCCCCCCACGGGGGCGCAGGCGCAGCCCCCCAAGAGGGGCGGCAGCCCCAGGCACCGCTGCTGGGAGCAGGGCTGGCCCCGTCCCCTCCCAGCCCCAGCTGCTCTTGCCTCTTCACACAGCTGAGTTTTGAGAAGAACAAACAAAATCAGCAGATGTTTCTTTCCGAGCAGCCTGAATCCCAAGCCAGCTGTGCACTTCCCAAAGGACAAGGACCCCTCGGAAATGGAGGAGCTGCCAAAACGACGGGGTGTTTTCACAGAAGCACCCTTCAGCAGAGGGAACAGGCTTCCTCCTCCAACTCACAGCCTGGGAAACACTTCGTCTCTGTCTCTCTCGTTTACTAGCTGAGGCCACTGCAAACACCACACCTGACCGAAGAAGTGCAAAAGCAAGGAGCATCGCTCCCTCATCTCCCTCCAGCTGAAGAAAGCACTTGGCCGGGGCAGGTTTAAATTCATGGGAAACATACCTTTTCCATTAATTCCTGAGTGCAGGAAACTCATCTGTCTTTAGCGCAAGCCCTGACAGCAGCCTTCCAGCTTCTCAGGCCTCTACCTCTGATCCTGATGAATCTTTTTAATTGTTATGCCAGAAGAAATCTAATCAAACTCCTTTACATAATGCTCCAGAGAAGCGGCACCCTCCTCTCCCCGCAGGGCCGACGACGTGGCCAAAAGCCAGCTACAGAAGTTGAGTGCGGTGTTATCCAGGCAACTAGCACGGAGCAAAGTCATTTGGTTTAACGCTTCTCCCCCTTGACGGGGATTCTTCAGAGCCAAGGGGGAGACACGATGCTAGGACGCACACCAAGCCGCTCTCGGGCAGCAACGTCTTACGGTACGTCCAGGCACCGTCGTTCGCGCAGGCTGGGGAGCAGGAGCAGTTCGGTGGGGCGGGGAGCAGGACAAGGCACGCTGCAAGGTGGAACAGCACAGCTATCAACTAACGAGCTGTTCTGTGAGCAGCAGAACTAATCAATAGGGAGGATGCTGTCTGGGTACTCAGCTCCCTGGGGTTTTGTAAGATACGAGTGCTATCAAAGGTTTACCCACAGCTGGAGCATTCAGCATGGCTGCCCCATGTGGATTCTCCGGTGTCTAGCAAGGGTGAAGAATATTGCCTTTCCGAAGGCATTAATGGGATCCCTCTCCTCTACCCACTTCCCCGTTGATGAAACCTGTACTATCTCACTATCCTCGAGGCCTCAGACCCCGTTCTGATGGAAATCAGCCAGTGGGCTCCGTGGCAGTTATGGCAGCAGCACACGCTCGCGCACACGGACATGCTCCGTTTCCTTTGGAAATCAGCTTAAAAATCAATCACACCCCGGCAGAGCTCCTCTGCTAAGAGAACTACACGAACTCCATCCAGCTCCGTCCCAGCTCTCCAGAAAGCAACGGCACAGCGTGACTTTGAAAAGACGCATCGGGTGGAGGTTTCCAGATGAAGTTTGTCCCCTTGAGCCCGGCCAGGCTGGGAGAGCGGCCGCATGAACGGCGGGTGGAAAGCAGCCTGGCAATTTTCCATCCACGGGGCTTATTTAGGTGACAGACAGACACGGTGCCCAAGTCACTGCCTTGAAGAAAGTGCTGCCCTTCGGCCAAGCCAACGCCGGGCCACGCGGCCACTTCTAGTCCAGCGCGGCGTTTTCTTCATGCTGTTGTGTGCTTGGAGACTGCGCAAGGCAGCAGCTCCACCTGGGACCACCTGCCAGGTATCCTGCTGGAAAGCCCCCGGCAAGGCAGAGACAGAAACTCAGCTACGCTCACGGGCTGCGGCTTAACGCAGCGAGAGCTTCCCATCACGCTTCCAAGACCTCTTCCATCCCAGCTTGAATCCTTCCTCCTCAGCGCTGCCAGAGAAGACAGGTGGAGCCGGGTCTCCAGCATCTTCTTTCGGAATCGAGTGCCCTCGAGACCACGTTCTCTACTGGTTTGTGCAGACTAATGGTCTTTACTGACGTTACCAGTCAGGCAAGGCAGCCCCTGGGCAGGTCATCATCCAAACCCACAAATTCCCCAAAGCACCGTTAGACCCTGTCAGAGATTCTGCCACATTTCAGGGACCTCGAGGTCTGGGACTGCAGGAGGAAGAGGAAGCTCCTTGTCCTTAAAAGCATTTTCAGGAGGAACACGGGCTCCCCAGGCACCAGGACCTGCCCAAACCAGCCCCTCTTCCCCGGGAAGGCAAAACACCTTCTCTGGCAGACAAGGCAAAACACACAGTTGCTCGGAAGGGCAAGGCTGGGGCTGGAGAGCACAAGGGGAGAAGAGAAATGATAGGGACGAGCATCAGCGAGGCCAGACAGCGAGGCCAGACAGAGGAAGAGAAGCTTTGAATAGTTGGCGTTTAGTTCCTGTAGCAGATGGTTTCTGGGCCTGCAGGGGCAGAGAGGCCGGGCAGAAAGCAACAAACCTACAAATTCAAAGTCTTGTGCATCTCTGGAGGCAGCAGGGACCAACTAGTTAGAGAGGTCTGGAAATTCTGCTGGGTATGACGATGCTTCTCTCTTCCGGAAAAGATGGTCTACTCCAAGATCAAGGGATTCAGGGACAGAACAAGCAAAACGGGGCACACGATGTGTACAGGGGTAGGAAGGTTACGGCTGTCAGTAAGCACCACTGCCAGACTAAGGGCAGCCAAGCTGATGGATGGAGCGAACAGAAAGCAACGAGCCCAGACAAGCACCAGAAGGAAGATCCTGCCCAGACCAAACGCAGAGAGGACAGGAGCAAACAGGAAAAAGAACAAAAGAGAGATTTGGCACCTGCCCAAATGTCATCCAATTAAGCCTGCGGCACAGTCAGGTGAGCAAGGAAGCAGCAGGCACCGGCAGGCGCCCGAATCCGAATGAATGCCGCGAGGAGGAGCTAATTCCGCCCTCTCACTGGCAGGGACGTGCAGACAGGGCAGGCAGAGGATGGGGAAGCTGTCAGCAGATGAGACTTTCCTGCCACTGAACTCCGGGCGTCAGTAACTCAGCACCGCGGTGGCACCGTCCCTCCAGCCATGCCTGTGTGCCCCACGGGGAGCACCCCTCTGCTTGCCTCCCCCAGGGACGCAGCCGCTGGAAGCAAGGCCTGGCTTGTCCCCCAGGCACACGGGAGGACACGTGCACGCACCTCTGGCGCGGGCACACGAGACCGGATCCATACGCGTGTCCGTGGCGTGTGCCGAGAGCAGGTGCGCAGCGCTGGCAGGGTGTTAAATGACACTCGGGGGGTTCCATCGAGTTGGGACCTCTGATCACCTGCGCCTTCCCCGTCCCACTCACACCCCTCTTGTGGGATCCCCCTCTGCATCGTGCGGGCCAGAAGCAGCGGCCAGCCCTCACACGGATGCTCCCCAGCCACCAGTACCTGTTACTCTGAGCCGCGCTCAGTCTCTTTGCTCTCTTCTCCAGCCAGTCCTCGATGGCGCCAGGCGGGACATCTGCTCCCTCCTGCTGCAGCTCCTTGGATCTCCGCTCCCCTGGTCGAGAGACAGACAGAGGGCTATCAGACGCTCGCGCTGCAGTCCTTTCACTCCATTAAACCCGCTGCTCATTACCCTGCATAGTTTCTTATGCTGGAGAGTTTGCAATCTGCGGCCCCTCCTCCTCCACTGCCCACCTGCCATCTGATGCTTGGCCTCCCCACTGGTGACAGCTCCAGCCAGCCAGAGCCGGGAACAAGAACTAAGCCAGCGAGCACGGCGGCAGTTCGGGCGCTTAGCTGAGGGGAGTCTGACATCTCCCCCCGGGGCAGATCGTCCTCATCCTCGCCTGAAACAGCCTCTGCTGGCCCTGAGCCCTGAGCTGTTTCCAAAGACACGTCCCTCCAACTGGCAGGAGGGACTTTGCCACCTCTGCCCAGTTAGGTGGGAGTGACAGGGACGTCTGTCCGGATCGATGCAGACTTGGCAGGCCGCGAGAGTCTGAAAGGTTCAGAGTGCGCGTACAACCAAGAGACGGGATTTCAGAGATGCTGTCAGGTCTGTTTAAGGCGCACGCTGCGTGATGCGTCCCCAGCCCCTGCAGAGACGGGGAGGGAGGCTGTCGCCCAGCCCAGCTCAGCCTAGGTGCAAAATCAGAGCAGAGCACGGCAGCGGAGGGACGCAGGGGAACAAGTTCCTGCATTTTCTCATGCAAGTTAGGAACGAGCAAGGAAACCAGTAGGAAACCTCTGCTGTCTACCAAGAGACAGGGCAGCCTGAGGTCCTTTCAAGCTTTCGACCCCTCCATCATTCTGGGGGGGTTGCGTGGGGCAGATGCCTGCAGGCGCCCCATCCTGCAGCACTGTCCTCTCCGGGCAGAAGGGCTCAGAGCCAGCGGGGCAGCCCAGCATTCACCAGTCCCTCCCACTGGGCAGAAATCCGCAGCTGCCCAGTTAGCAAAGCTCCCCGGTGACAAAGTGACACAGCAGGAAGGGATGCTAGCGGAGAACAGGGTCTAGCACGAGTCCTTGACACGAACGACACAGCCATACTCCTGACAGCACGCCAGGCAGCGCGGGCTGGGATGCTCAGAGCTGTTAGATCTCCAGCCCAGTGGAAAGTTCCCACCTAACAGAAAAGGGAACGTGATACTTTGAAAAACAAACACTGATATTAATAAAAAGGAAGCCGAAGCAGCTGTGTATCATTCCCCTTTGCCCTGCTCATCAAACCCTCCGGGGACGAGCGCTCTGGGGGATCCCTGATCCCATTTAGAGATCAACCCGCCGGCAGTCCCACCCCGGCAGCAGCCACCTGCAGCCGTACCCACCAGGAGCCGGCTCCACACCTACCCACCATATGTCACACGTTTAAGGAAAATATTATACGTTTCCAGACAGGGTGTGAAATTAATATTGCTTGGGCAGAGTGAAGGATCACTTCATCCTCGTGGTGGCAACCAATTATTCATCTGCCTGTTGAATATTAATAAGGATGGCAGAAACGTGCTACACAATGAGCAGCCGGAGATGGATAATTTGTCATCCAGCCTTTTCATCTGCCGCTGCCGGGAGGAGCGACGATGTACTCGCTGCCACCGCAAAGACAGCCTGCTGCGGTCCTGATGTCGAGGTGCTGCTCTGCAACCCGGCGATAAGGATACAGTTGGAGACGGGACTGTTTGAGTCTCCTACGGTTGGTTCCAAGGAGCAAAGCTGCAGCAGAGCTATCTGGGGCCAACCCGACAGCCTGGCCAGGTGAGGGCACCGGGGAGGCAAGAAGCTCAGTTTGGTGAGCTGGGCACTGCTCAAACTCAGGAAATCCGAATTCGGCTCGCAGGTTAGACTTCCGTGGCAACCTTGACCACCTTATTTCCCTTTGGTCCAGGTTCCTCCATCTATTGAGCGCCTGGGCACATCCCACCTCAGCGAGGGGTTGTGAGAGGCTTCGATGAGGCAGGGAAGAAAGTCACAGAGAGAAACCTCTCCCACCTCTACCTACCACTGAGAATTCCTTTTCATCCCGGTTCAAGCCCCAACACAGAACAGATCAGTAACTGCCAAGGCCTCTCTGTTTAGAGCAGGGAGCCTCAAAGGGCCACACCAGGAACAGGTGGGAACCCACGGACTCGAGCAGCCACAACTCGCTGTCTCATCCAGAAAAGCTCGCTGGCTGCAGCGGAACGACTCCAGGCTCACGCTGGCCTAAATGAGGCCCCAGGTGTCCAGGTTAGAAAGACATCCAACTGGGTCCCCCTTCGCGCAGCTCCACGAGTTACTGCTCCAAAGCACTCCAACTCTCAGGCTGAGAAACAAGGCAGCAGGTACGGGCAACTCTCTGGCTCTGTCCACCTTGACACACACCCATCAAAAAGGCAAATCTTTCATCTCTTCCTCCTCTGAAGCGAACACATCCCATCCAGGGACCACCAAAGCTACCATGAGACTGGAAATACCCCCTGAATGTCAACAAGCATTCCAAGATGTCTCTCTGAAACACAATTACCAGCCCTTACTCCTCATACATGGCCGTGCAGTCAGCCAGCCAGGTGTGAAGGTGCTTCCCCCCCTCCTTCTCACTGGGGTGTTTGTTTCAAATCTAATTACAGCCAATTAAAAGAGTGTCTGTAGTCATGAAATGCCTCTCTAATGACGCCAGAGTGGGAGTCCAGATTTATCTTCTCTCCCTATGCAACTTTCAGCATGAGTTTTCTTCCTGAATGTGGCACGACTGTGTGCGAGATGCAACCACCAGTACCGAGCAGGTCACCCAGCACAGAGACTGCCATGTAATCCTTCAGCTCCCTCCCTGCACAGGAAGAGGTGGCAGCCCAAACTCCTCCAGAGCACATGAACAGCAGCAAACTGCGGCTGAGGGATGCTGTTGAGGAGGCCCCGCAATATGAGTGGCTTAAGAAGCGGCAGCCGACTGCGAGGACGCTCCTTCTCCTGCTCATCGCCGAGTTAAACTGGTTGACTACAGCCACCTCCAGCAGGGTCACTCCTATTCTTTCAATCACACGGATATATTGCACACACTCACCCAACCGTGCCCTTACTCTCCCCTCGCAGCTCCGGCTGGCTGGAGCTCACCGAAGAGCCCGGGTTGTGTCAATACTACCTGCAGAAGTGACGCAGATTAGCGGGGAGCCAATAACTTGAAGCAAGAAGATAGCAGTTTGACAGTGACTTTTCCTGACATGACTGTGCTTAAAATGACAGCCTGGAAGTGTCTCGCTGATGAATGATGCAGCAGATGCAGAAGGCTAATGCCTTGATGCGGTAACAGCTGGGAATATGCCTCCCTCCCTGTTGAAGGTGGAAACTGTTGCTTCTTGATGAGTATATTCTACGGGGTGCAGAAATGCTGAAGCCAAACTAGGACACGCTCTAAGCCGTTACGGAACAGCGAATCGTCCAGAATTTTTCCTACTTAACCCACAAGACTAACACAAACAACAGGGTGAATTCCCTGCATGGAAAAGGCCAAACGTTAAGAATAAGGTAATGCTTCTTTTGGCTGCAATAAAGACACGTCATTAGCAAGGGAAGCTCCCTGACACAGAACTACCAACACCAAACACTCAACGGGGATTCAGGGACAGGTTCAATATTTACATGACAAAGAAAGTGCCATCATGGTTTAGCAGCTTTAAATAAAAGGTTTTGCTGTGGGTTAGGATGCAAGGCCACCCTTGAACATGGGTGAGTGGGCTACACTGCTTCACTACAGGATTTCTTGGCACCTTTTTCTGAAGCATCTGCCCCTGGACAAGGGGACACAACACAGGCTGACAGCTCCTCTGCTTCTACGCCCAGGCACCAGAGCTGAGGAAAGCGGAGTTCAGCAGCACCGTGGACCCACCAAGAGACCGTCCCCGCCAGAGGCAGAGCGTGGTCATCTCCAGCACGGCCACACAAGGCTCTGCACAACACGGTGAGAGGGCTCCGGAGCTTCCAGCCTCTCAGCTCATCTCATCTCAAATCCCTGACCCCCCCCGCCGGCTGCAAGCCTGTCAAAATCTCCCAGACGCTGCAGGTTCAGACGGGAAATCTCTGCGGACACTGACAATTTGGTGAGAGGCAGCCTGATCCAGAACACGGCTCCAAGCTGTACCGTGTCACCTCGCTGGCTGTGGCCTGCGATGCCTCAGAGCACACAAACACCGGGACTAGGTGCCAACGCATATAGGGACGCTCCTGACGGACACGCCACCAGGACCAGGTCTGACACAACCTACAGTCCAACCTGCCCGCACACGAGCTTGCCTTAAACTCTGCCCTAAGCCTCACCCTCTGAGACGCCGATGCTTCAGTAGCCTAGGGAGTGGGGAAGCGTCCCCATGGCACACCGAGCGGCGGCTTGGCTTTTTGCAGCCGTTCCTTCCACCCAGTCTACTCTGTTATGGGCTGCATCTCTTCTCCGCCAAGCCCTGCCAAGCTCTTCCCTCCATCAAATCCCTCCAAGCACTCTGCGGGCTCAACCGATCAGATTTAGAGGTCTAAAATGCTCAGCCTGCTCGCTCGGCTCACGCAGGATTTCCACAGAGCAACAGCATGAGAGAGGTGAGCAGGATTTAACCGTACAACCAGGCATTCGTGTTAGAGCAGCACAGCCAAGGACAAGGCACCCTGCCGTCCCCTGGCCACCGCTCCTTTAAGTCTAATTGTTTAATTAAATGTTTGACTTGGTAATACAAATGCAAGGTTTCCAAGTACTCTCCCAGGAATCAGCTCTCTCACTAGCCAATTCTCCACTTACACCTGACCCATTTGACAGAAGTCAATATTCAATAACAAGTGTAATTGGCAAAGAAACCTGCCCAAGCGCAGAGGAGCTTGCCAGCCTTCCCCCGCAGCCCCGCTCTGCTCCAAAGAGCTTTCACTTCCCCTCTAATAAACAGCCTTCAATGACTGGAAACGCTACAGGTTCCTGCAAACAGGCTGACATCCTGTGCCACCTCTCGGGAGCCCAGCACTTAAACCCCGCAGCGCAGAAGGGTCGGGGAGAGGTTCTGGGCTAGCAGAGGGGAAGAGGAGCACGACTGTCGCTCCGAGAAGGGCTGGCTGGAGCGCTCTGCCTCCCGCGCAGCCCGATGAGATGGGTTTTATTGACTGCCAGCGCTGTTTAGCGATTGATTCACAGAGTCACCTCGGGGACTCGCAGACTGACTCAGCAACGGCGAGGACTGGAATAGCTCGGTAGCGCCTGCCTTCCTCCTGCTGCCCAGGT